GGTGCCCAGCGACGTGCAACCGTACCCGATAGAGATCTGCTGAGACGACGAGCCAACGCGTCCAATCATTGAATAGCATCTGAAGGTTATCAGTAATATTGAAAATGCCACAGTGTTCGATGTCACTTCTAAAATCACTGTATTTCTGAATTTATTAAGTGCTTGTGGATGTTTCAAAAGAAGCTTGGGTCTTGACTCACAAGAAGTATTCATAAATGAAAAGCCTCTCATAGAAATCAATAACCAGGCAAATCCCACGAGGGATCAGCTTCACGCAAGATCGTGTAGTCGGAGGCAGAAAACACTCACTGGTGCCCCTCCTTTTTAGCCCTCTAAAACGAAAGTCAGGGAGGTGAGGACAGTAGTCTCCTGGTTCACTGATGTCTTTCCCCCACTACCATGTCCCTCTCCCCCACCCCTGATGGATGGGAATGCCCAAAGAACCCATCATTGCCCTTATTTATTTGTTTATTTATTTATCATGCACGCACGGGTGCGCTACATTATGAGTGAAACCAGATAAGTTACAAAGAAAGCGACTCATACCTGCTTTACATTCCGCATTTTTTTCCTTATGGAGAACAAGGAGAACAAGGACTAGGTTCTTTTTGTCCTGACTAGTGGCGGGCCTTTTCTTGGTAAGGCCCGCCACTAGTCAGGACAAAAATATACTCGGGCTGTTCCACTCTGGAACTGCACCCGAGCGATTTTCCAGAATTTCTGCGAGATTGCAACAAAATTACTACAGCGGAATGTAAAGCAGGTATGACGCATTTGTTTGGAAACATTCCCTTCATTTGAAAGCAAAGCAGGCAAGTTCTGAACATAATAGCCTACCCGCTCCCAAGGAAGAACTCCAAACCATTTCCTCTGGGTAAACTGTACTGTCGCGTGAAAGTGAGGCATGTGTCGGCCTCCCAACGTGCAATTCCAGCCAGGACAGCTGCCTCATTTACTGCAAAACATGAATGTAGCATTAGCTGGATCTGAAAGGGGTATCTTACTAATAATGACCTCCAGATTGCGTGTTGATATAATACGGTATGGGGAGTGTTGACCATCGAGCGTAGAGATATGATGTTAACGAACGGCGTTGTCTAGACTTTCCACCATTGTTCCATAGTTGATCCTCAGTGTTGCTGCAAGGAAATCTCACTGTCACAAGTTATTTAGCTGACAACTTGGGTTCCAGTAAAGTCATACCGGAGGATGGTTTCCAGTTGGTTTTCCGTCAAAAGGATGTCTCCCTCAAACATATACGGTAATTGATCTGGTTTGGCAGGTTTCTCTTCAAACGGCATTTCATCGCGAGATGTGGGCTGGAAAGGGAGAACGGGCTTAATAACTTAACGGGCTAGTACGGGCTTTGAATACATACTGTAGGAACTCCGACGGACATTTTGCTGTCATTCTGACTGTTTCCCAATTCTCATGCGTTTTGAGCATATATTAGAGTAAACTTGACACACTAGAGTGATTTCTAGAACCGGGCACACGGTTGATGCGGATTCCCCAAGGAAAGGAGGAGGTTGTATTTGGCCGCCGAATAGAGGGAGTCTTCAGCGGAGAGTCTGTCAGCAGGCGAGCAACGCAAATGTATCAGCATTCCGTAGGTAGCGGAATTTGCGCTGTAGAGACCCTGAGTATGTGAAAAACATCGCAAAAATGAAGAATTAACTACCATTATTGAATAGTAGACACAGATTCGTGAGGAGGTAGATGGCTAAATAGTGCAAGCTGAAGAGGATCTCATGCGGGTCATGGATCTTTATGAACTCAACTAATACATCCGCTCGCAGGGAGAGACACCTCGTAGGAGTAACACTCGCTCCGCCAACTCTCAGTGGAAGCATAACGCATGGCGTATCCGGAAATGAGCCCAATCGCATTGAACAAATCAGTTCTCACTTCTGTCACGAGAAAACCCATTCTGAAAGGATTTTCGGGCCTCTAAATGAGTTCATTCGCAAAGGTAAGAAAGAGACTGCCTTCTGTGAGTCTCTAATTTAGGTATGCTTTAGAAAGTCCCCCACTCAAATTGCTCATGACCAGCAAAATCTAAATCAAAATCGAAATTTAGTAGTCTTCAAGAAGAAAAAAATTTGTTAAAAATGTTGCCATTTACCTACATAACTGTATTGCTTGTCGACATAACTGCTGTAAATGTTCTTTTAACTCTTACCACATACCCGTACGCAATTTTCAAAATTCCATATCAATCACGCATGATATTCTC